TCGTTGCTCTATTTTGTAGTTTTGTTCTATTATTAGCTATTGAAGGAATATGAGACTACCGGATAGCACCGTATTAAACTACCAGTTCCTGTATTTATGGGCACCACCTGCGGGTTAAAACAGATGCTGTCACTCTGCAGAGTTCCCTTCAGAGCAGGGGAGATATAATGAATATGTGATCAAGGCGCCCTCGCTTAGTCCCATTGTGCAGTAATTACAGATGGAAGCATTTCTAAACAGGCAGCGTTGGCTCAGGGAAAAGGAGCAGTGCAGAGGGTTTGCCCCACATGGCAGGATACAGCGATGGAAAGCAAAACCAGTCCCAAAGTCTTCAGTAGTTCCAAGATGGGAAGCCCTCTGCAGTCATTACGGCCTCTTACACGGAGAAAGCTACTGCAGGAAGGACCAGCAGTACCCTCCAGGGCAAGTAAATACCCTGTAGTTACCCTCTGGGCATGTAAATACGCTGTGGGTAGCAAAGCAGCTGCTTATTACAGTGACCAGAACCATGTGTATAATACAAACTCTTTCAGTGACCTTTAGTGATAATTTCAGCTCATTCTGCCATGGCTGCTGGGTATGTTCCTGCTCCTCCAGAGGTTGACTGGGACCTTTGCACCCACTCTGTACGTGAAGGAAAATATATTTACCTTGAAACCAGCAGAGTAAGCTGTTCTTTTGGAGGAAAATTGGAAGCATTGGAGCTAGGATAATGCAGAAATCTGCGGCAGAGCCACTATTTTATGTTCCTTTGTGTGTGTGGGCAAAAGGGGCAGAATAAATGATGCATCCAGTACAGAGCAAATCATTTAGGTACCATGAGGCTTGGCTGAAATACATAAGAACCCTTCCTAAATTTCCACTGCTTTCCCCTTTTTGCCTTGCAGGAGGTGGCAGCATCCTGAGGCCGGTACAGCTCTAGCCGCAGCAAGTGCTACACTGGAAGGCAACAGAAAAGGTCCGAGTGAGTCATTTGAGCGTTAATTGTCATTGATGTTAACGGTAGTTCTGTTATCTGGCTGCAGCCCAGCGCAGGTTGACATGAGCTGGTGGTGTGTGAGTAGTGGGTTTATGGTGAATCAGCTCTGGAGCCGGGTGGCCTTTATGATGCTGCTGCTTAAGATTTGATGATAAGAGTGTGCTGTGGTTGATGATAAATATTATCTTCCTCCTTCAAACGATGTGGAACTGCGAAAGTAAACATGAAGCTGGAGGCTAGTGAGAGAAAGGCAAGACACGTCCAGGCGCTGCATCTCTGCATCCCTCGTATTCTTACAGAGCCCTCATAATAATAATGAATAAAGCACTGTTCTTCCAAATCCCTTCCTAAAATAAACCATCCAGATGGCTGTAAGTGAATACCTAGTCATCAAGCTGAGTAATGCTTATTTTGAGTACATCAACCAAGAAATGTGTACGATTGTGCTGAATTATGCACAGTGCAACTCAAACAGATGCACACGCAGAAGCAGGAATATCACAAGTGTCAGACAGCAGTGGTTCACACTCTCATTCTGGTCCTGGTCTACAAGACTGACCTGAGAGCTATTTAAGGGTGTGTAACATGTAATGTATAGGGAGGAAGAATGTCTTTTTCTTTCCTACAGCTTTATAGGTACTGGAATTGCTCAGAAATAGGTACTCGGTGCTAAGCGAAGTTAAATGTTCTCGCTTTTCTTTTGGGGGGGATGTTGGAGAGGACAGAAGGATTTTCTTGCAGGCTGTGAGAGTGAGGTTATTTGCCTTTTCAGGCAATACCAGGATTCTCTCCCCTCCTTTCCCCTGGAATGTCCAATTCAAACCTGGGAAAATGAAATCCAGAAGGATTTCATTCCTTTCGGAATGAAAAGGAAAGCGCAACCCAGGTGCTCTGCAAGGGCTGCCCGTGTCCATAGTGTAAATAGAGCAAAACATACATTCACAGAGATGTCTTCCAGCCAGCTCTGCCCAAACTAACAAGCTTGTTTAGTACTTGATCTGAAATGCCTGGTAAGCACAGGGGTGTGCTTGATTGCTTTTAATGGGCACACTTGGTGGGATGGCTTTCAGCAAGCATCCTCACAAGGTCTGTCCAGCTGAGGAATAAAAAGGGCCCATGTTGGCTGGCACCACTGCTGCATGTTTCCTGACTTTACTCCTCAAAGCTCAAGTAAAACCCTTTCTGAAGGGAACCCCCACTGTAGCATTATGGAGGCTGCTTCAATGTGCCCTCCTGGTGCCAGGACAGATGGGGGGCTTCAGAAGCTTCAGCTGAGAAACATAGCACCTGAAAACCAGTTTGTCCACTACACAACCCTTTACATACCTAAACTTTGTGCTAAAATGATAGCAATTGCTTTTTTTATTCTTTTATTATTTTATTAATATTTATTTAATTATTCTTTATTAATTTTATTTATTCTATTTATTGCTTTATTTATTCTTTTTCCTGAATGCAATCTTTATTACCTGTGAAATCAAGCCCCTTCCCTAGCTGAAAATATGTGAGCAACTTACTTGTATGGGAGGATTATAATGGTATAGCAGAAAAATAAGCCTATTAGAAGCCCTTGAGGCATAAATTCAAGCCCTCATTAATCTCTGTGGGCTGCATCTCAAATCTGAAGTTTTATAGGATGTGGGTGGTATTTCCAAAGTGAGTTGCTGGAATTGGTTGACTTAGAGGATTGACTTGGATGATAATAGTATGCTTCTGAGCCACAGCCCTCTGCCTGAGCAAGATACAGGCTGTGATTTATGCTGTGAACATCACTGATATGGGGCTGTGCCCATAGCATGTAGCTGGCTTGAGGTCCCTGCAGTTCTAGCACTGGAGGGCAGAAGGGCTGTGGGAGCATGTGAAGGAGTGGGACCAACACACAGAGCTGTTGGTAGACTCATTTTGAGTTTGTGTCTCTGCTTTCTTCTCCTTTTCAAGAAAGAGTTGAACTTCCTTAGCTGGGGCAACTCGGGATTTTTACTGTGAAATCCCAATTAAAATTGAGGAGTGTGGTGGATGTGTCATCCCAATAACTGCATCACTCCTTTCACCCAGCTCTCAGAGGAGTCCCTTGCCACTGACAGTGCATCCCGTACTACTGACAGTGCATCTTGGTATCACTGAAAACCTAAATGTCAGGAATAAGGTAATGCTGGCTTTGGCACAGGAGAGGTGCAATTCACTGTCAGCTTTTCCCTGTCTCTTAATTGCATCTGGGAGCATCAGGTTCATTGGTTTAAGCTGTCATAACACAAAGATTTGACTCAGTGCTGCAAGAAGAATGGCAAGAAAAAAGCTTAGGGCATTTTAGGTTATGACTGAAGTGTTATCTTCAATCAAAGACAGACTGTGCCTAGAAAGAGTAAAGTCTAAAGGTTAAATTCCAGCTCCAAGAAGGATGCAAGCTGGAGGGATTCCCTGTTAGAATATGAAAAGAGCTGTTGCTGATTTTGCTATCACAAGTGTCCTGGTACCTCAGATCTAGGAATGTTCCACATTTTGTTAGAAATACTACTAAAAATTGAAGGGTGGATGAAGAAATCTCTGCTTATTATGAGAGATGATAACAGCAACATGAGCTTAAGTTTAAAGTTATTTCATTTTGGCTTAGGCAGGTACGGATTGGAGGAGAACCTAATCTTTACCTCTTTAAAACAAATATAAAGAGCTGAACCTGCACTTTGGGAAGCAGCAGGTGGAGATTTGGCCACAGAAGGTCCGAAACCCAAAGTTCAGCTGAAGCTGATGGAGCTTTTTGTCTTTGTTTTGTGCACGTGTGAATGAGTGTGAGAGCCTGAAAGATGCGATCCCCTACGGGCAAGGGAGACCTTTACCAAAGTAAAAAGGAAGATAGTGAAGAGACTGAATCCGGAGTGCATCAGTCAGCCGGAGAAACATTGCCTTTCCCCCTAACAAGAAAGCTGCAGTTCAACATTTCTTTGGCTTAATAACACGATTTAATATGAGCCAGATTCTTGTGGCTTTAAGCATTATTAAAGCCTGTAGGCAGGTTGCTATAACGAGCTGAAGAAAAACCCCTGCAGAAAAGAGGTTTCTTTTCTCCTGTAGCTTTGGTTTCACTCCAGAGCATCAGAGGCAGAGCTGCGGATTACTGGTTCATGAGCACAGCCTGCCGGCTCCAGCCGCAACGTGCAGCGGCGGGCATCTCCCTTCAGCCGCAAGTTTGTTGTGGAGTTCGGGGATGCTTTGGTTTGTTTACCTCTAGGAATAGACGTGCCCATTGAAATCCCTGTGAGACACCCACAGCCTTTATTCGGAAGCATGCAGAATAGATAGGAAAACACCATGAAGCTCTCTGCAGAGACAAGAGGTCTGAACCTTTAAGGTAAAAGACAGAAAAAAGCTCCTGAAACAATGGTAAATGAATAGTTTCTGTCCTCTCCGGCTGCCAGGATGCTTGGGGGTCCTTAGGGATTGTGGGGTTATTGCAGGCTGTGGCATCAGTTAACATCACCAGGCATAATGATTCCCATTACCTTATGATGCTCTCTCTGGGCTATACCCAGTGTTTAGGTTTGAGGCTGGCTTTCAACAGACTCTGTGCCACATTTAACCCCTCGTGTTAGCTCTGAGCTAGCCAGTGTGTCTGCACAGCCTAGGGGAAGATTTGCATTATAGGCTTCAGGTTTGATGGTCTTGAGAGTGTGACATGGGTTTTTTTTTTGGGGGGGGGGGAAGAGACCAAAATAGAAGTCCCTAAGCTGGGAGCTCACTTGACTGGCTGCAAATGCAGAGTTGGGAAGGTGAGTGTGGTCTGCTGAGTAGCCTGTTGAAGCAGTCTGTCCAGGCTGGCTGCAGGCATGACTGATATCAATCAGTGCTGGTCCTAAGTTCATTTGCCCAGCAACCTTCTTTTCAGGACAAATTCACTTTTGTTATTTGTGTTTGGGATTCATCATGCAGATTTGGCACATTTTATTGTACAGAAAACCCTTTTGCACAAGATCAGCTTTTTTAATTTGATGGAAGCTTTTGTCTTCAAATGAAGACCTCAAAGTTATCACTATCGGTCCCACACTGCCTCAACACACGGGCATGCTGACACCTAAAGCTGTGCCCACCACAGGGGCGGCTGCTGGAGGAGAGCCCAGAGCTGAGGCCAGTGACTGCCACATGGAAATTCATCTCAGCACCAGACCCCCACTCTCCTGCTGTGTAAGCCCTAATTAAACCCTTGCAGCAGAATAATTAATCATTAGTAGGGGAATTAAATATTAGTCTCTACTGTAGTAAACACTGGTTATATATTAACAAGCTCCCTAGCTATCCATTAACCTTTTAAGCCCTTTCAAATCCTCTTTATCATGCTGCAGATTTGAGTTAAATATCTGTCTCAAATGACCTTAAGTGAGTGCCCTTTTACTTGCTATTAAAGGCATTAAAAATTCCAGAGCCAGTTTAGTTATTTTGTCCTTTCTGGTTGTTATCATCTTTTCTATTTGGCTTTATTTAAATTCAGCTATAGGGAAGGCTTATCACACTATTGCTATGGAGCCATTATAACTTCCCAGAGACTGAGGGAATCACTTCCTAAAATGATGGGTGATAACTGAGGCAATGATTCTTTTTTCCCCTTGTTCTTGTGCTGCTTTGCATCAGGCATTGGCAGATCCTACACCTCACACCAGAGTACGTGCCCTACATAGATGCAGAACAGAGACCACGGGAGAATGAAGTTAATGGGCATATATAAGACTCAAATCAGATTCAGAGCCACAGTCTCATTTTTGACCTCTGACTTCCAGCTTGTTAAGGTAAATCCCTGGATTTCTCTTGCACCTCTATGGAAGCTAGGGCTATTTCTTCTCTGCTCTCTATTCCTTTTTACTAAAAATGTAAGTAAGTTGCTTAAGGCCACAGTTTGTGCAGGCTGGTGTCCAGTATCAGATCTCCCACCTTCAGGGTTTATAGCCCTGCCACTAGCAAGGTATCATAATGGTCGTGAACCAAGTGAGAGAAGAAGGGAGCTGTGGGACGTGCTGACCATAGCATCTAACTCTGCAGTGCTGAGAGATTTGTAGCCAATGCAAGGGCAGAGCTGCTTTTAGGGGTCAGGCTGGGTCACAAGGAAAGTATTTATGATGTCTAGATAGAGGAAACATCTGTTCTTCCCATCTGAAAGCCATGTTGCAAGACAGTCTTGGTGGCTTTGGCTATGAAGTCTTGCTTTCCGTTCCTTACCTGTTTGTTAGTTAGGAAAGCAAATGCAAGCCAAATGAGGATTGGAAAGACCTGTTTGCCAGGTTCCTGCTTGGGGTGGGAAAGGCAGCGGAGGTGTTGCCCTTGATGATGCTGCCTCCTCCCTCTGCATCTGCAACCCAGGGCTGCAGCACAGACTCGGCCCTGGTGCAGGCAAAGATCCGCTGTCAGCTGGAGACGTGCTTGAAACGCTGCCCGCACTGCTCTGTTCCGCATTTGAGGTGATGCCCTGTGTCCTTGCTGAGCGATCCTTAATCTCTTACATCTTTAATCAAGGTATTTTCTTTTGGACTGCTGGAAACGCTCTTCTCCTGCGGATTAATTAGAAATAACACCTAGCTCTGACAACTGAATCTGCTGTGAGCTCCGGTCAGGGTACAGGCAGTCCTCTAAGCCATTCCTCATGACACTGCTCTTGCTTCTTACTTTTAATCCCTGTTGTTTGGGAGCTGTAGGCTGTGGTCAGCCGTTCTCAGTGGAGTTACAGGCAGAATCAGTGCAGCTGCGAGAGCAAAGCTACGTGTGAAACCCCACCTCGTGCTGCTGAAAGCACTGGCCTGGTTCCAAATGCCCTCGGGCAGCCCCTTTTCTTTCAGGATTTGCACCTCTGCTCAGCAGGGGTTCCTGCCTTAAAACCTGGTAGTTCAGCTATTTGGAGTCATGGTAATGCTTTCTCCCATTTGCTCCCTTTCTGTTAGCAGCAGCAAGGTGTGAAACTATGGTCTGAAGTCAGCAAATCAACACTGGCTAGTTAATGGCTTTGATCTGATCTTCCTCAGGGTGTCTGTTTTAGTTTGATAAGCCTGTGGGATGTGCAGAATTAGGATGATCTCTTGGAGCATATTCACCCTTGTGTGGGTGACTTCAGGTTAGTTTCATCTTTGTGTTGACCCCTCTCTAACATATTTCCCACAAAAAGTTCTAATTCTGTATCTGCTAAGAGTTTGGACAAAGCTCCGTTCCTTTGCAGTATGAATTTGATCAAGGAATATTAAATCCTATATTTTGAAGCCAAAAGTAAGAGCTGTTACAGACTGGATCAAATCTAACCCAGCAGGTGGGTGATGTCTCATCCCCCACCAGTGATGGGAGATGGGACAAGGGACCTGCACATCTCGGGTCTAATACAATCTGGGACCTACTTTGATTTTTCCTCTTCAAGCCCTCTCTCAGGGGTCTTTTGGTAAGGCTTATTCATTTTAACATCTTATAAAGAGAGCCTGGAGAACAAACCATGGATTTAACCGTCATTGCTGCTGATAGCACATTACTACATAGTGTGCAGCTTCCTTGGGTGTGTTCCTGGGACCAGATGAGAGAAGTGCTCTGATGAAGTGGGATTTTGCTTGTCATGAATATTTTTATCAGAAGTCTCTGTGCCTTGATAGTTCCTGGAATGCAAATGCAAAAGGGGAGGAAGCAGGTTTATTTTGTACGGTGTTTTTCATACATCTTTTAGTCTACTTTTGAGGTCCTAGAAAAGATTATGCTCTTTCATTGCAAATACCTGTGGCAGGGCCACTCTGCTTCACTTACAGAGATGCTACAAGGGCAGCAGGCAGTAGCTGATGGGTCAGGGTTATACATCCTCCTGGGCCCATGTAGTTCACCAAAGCTATTCACAGTACAGTGTTATTTCTGCTGACCAGAACATGCAATATTCAGCAGGAGAACATGCTTGTTGGCATTACTGGACTTTCAGCAATGATGGAAACACAGGTCTTTCACTGAGCTGCATTTAAATGTACAAAATATATGTAAATAGGTAAGTTCATCGTACTGTTTCCACTTAATTTTCTCTGGCTAACTGGCATATAATAGCATAAGAAAGGGAAATAATGGTGGTTATTGTATGTTCTACCAAGAATATTTCTGCTTAAATTACTAGGGGATGCTAAAAAACTGAATGAGAAGGCTAAAGCAATGTTTTGACCAGGAGCCAAGTGTAGAGCTGTAATGAAATAGATGTTTAAGAGAGTTCTGTGGCACCAAACTTGGTTTTCCAAATTAAAAAAGCTTTTACACAGTGTCTGGAAAAGGGAAGGAAGAGGGGTAAAGAAGTATTACTGTGAAAGATATTCCTTCTTATGGGGAAAACCGAATAGCTTAAATTAGCAGCATTTTCTGGTTTGAGTGGGTTTCTGAACCTTCTCTTCTTTGAAGGCGATTTTACAAACACATTAATAAGGACAGAATAACTTCAATGTAAGAACCACAACTAAGGAGTCCTGTTTGCAGAATATGGTTGGTCACAACCTTTCATTTCATAGTTTGGTTCCTTTGAAATGTATTCTAGTTTAAGTCTTGTTTCTCGACTCGTTCAGGCTTCAGACTTCCCATGGTAAAATTGCTTCATACAATGATTTCATCGTCTACACGTTGCAGAAAAGAAGCCCATGTGTTGGATAGTCAAAAGATCAGGCAAATATTTGACTCTGTGTGCAACAAAATATTATGAGGTAATTTTATTTTTTCCCCCCATTTTTAGGTAAAAATATTACAGTATACAAGATAATCTTATTAAAGGTAAAAATACAGTATTTTGCTTCTTTTTCTAAACAGATTTACGTACAGTACACTTTTTATTTTGTTTTTTTTTTGTGTGGTTTTTGTACAAATATAACTATTATTCTATTAGGCTATCTGTATTCTCATCTGGCACTTAAAAACTGATCACGGGGCACCTTCTGGCTCTGCTTGTTTTCCTTAGCTTATGCCTAAATGTAATGTTCATCTTCTAGGTGTCTCTTGTAAACAAGCAGCACAGTTCAGTGGTTCCCAAGTAGTAAGGTGTTCTTTAAGTAGTTGAAATCATGTAGCTAAATGTAAAAACCCAAGCAGAGTTTGCAGTTGTGTTGCACAGAGTCATTGCTTTCCAGTTGTAACAGTGCAATCCAAGTACTTGCATTACTCCAGCCTTTAAAACAGCTTCAATCCCTTCTTTGTCCTCTGTAAAAACCAAACACATAATAATTTCCACAATGCTTTTTCCTTTATTTCTTCTTTTTTCTTCTTTTTGTCAGAATGTTCTCTGTGGAATTGAAGCCTTTTTTGTGTTGATTTAAAGGTTTGAAACTACTGGGCTATGTTTTTCATGATGTATCTCACCCTATGGCTTGCTGTTTGACCTCGGGAACCTGCAAGCTGAGCGCAGTTGCATCACTGTCACTGGATAACTGCTGTTCCTTGAACTGAATACATTAGCACAATAAATGTGATTGCTGGGTATTCCTGGGAAGTGAGTTGCACATCATTATGAATATTTCAGTACACTGTTGGGGAAGCTGGGGTCATGTAAGGATAAAAGAGAGGCAAGGTGTGTACAGAGAGACCATATCCATTTGTGGACTAGCTAATATAGCTGGAAAAGGGGAACAGGAGTTTCGGGCTGGGAACTGTTGTATCAAGTTCTAGCAGAAGGGTGAAAGGATGCTTTACCCAACAAGCTCCATTCATTTTTTTTTCCAATGCTGTCATCCATCTACAACAAAAGTAGATGACCTCTACCTGCCATACGTTGCCTTGGTCAGTTCAGCAGTTGATTTCTCAGTTGCTTTTCATTAGCCACAGTTCAAAGGTATCTATCTTCAGGGATGCCCATGTAAACATAAAAGGGGAGTACACACCCGAGGATAGGAATTTTCAAGGAGTATGCTTAGCACATTTTGTCTTCAGGCTTCACCCAATTCTGATCAATACAGTCCCAGGTGGTGTAAATGAGCACAGTTACGTTGTCTTCACTACAGTCAGATAGGTGAAGATCTGTCTTTTTTTGCCTTTAACTAGAGGTGCTTCCCTATGGTGCATCTATTTCTGATGTCAAAGGGAATACATTTTTACCAGTAAGTCACTTTTGTATCATAAAAGGTTTAACCGGTAATAAACTCACCAAGCACAGCAGCAAGGCAAAGTGCTCCTACCAATGCTTGCTAGTTAGCAAAAGTTGAGTGTGCAGTGCCCATCTTTTATATGGTTTTTGCTCTCCTAAGATGCTGGTTGAGATTGAAAAGTGTTTAGAAAACCAGTTGCCTTGCTCTGTTTTCACCATCAGATGTCCTTGTTTAAGGTCTTCCCAAATTTGTCGCTCAGCTGCTGTATTAGTCGTGCCAGCTCGTCAGTAGCTTGTGACTTTTCCTCTAAGAGCTCATAGCGGAGACTAGAAATATCTTGCTTAATCTCTTTAAGTTCTCCTAAAAGGAATAAAATGTCTTTGTTAGTAACACTGACCCAAATAAGTAATCCCTATGGTTTTAAGAGCTGAGAGAGAATTAATTTCAGTGCGTTTGCTCATGAATGAGTATGGAGCTCTGGATTACGTCCCTGCATTTATGCATTTAATATTTGTGCCTATAAGAAATAACCTGTATTTGCAGTAGTGGTACTGACAGCAATAGCAAATATGTCCGATGTATGGAAAGTTACCTTTTTTTCTGAAGTCTACTATCTCTTCACATATTTATCTCTTATCTATAGGGGGATTTACAGGAGAGTAACACTTAAGAGGTGATAGAAGGAGGTTCTCTTCCATCTGCATACAAATCCTATATGACATAATGACAATACAAATCCTCGGAGCAGGTAGGGGCAGTACAGGCAGAAATTGCTTTGCTTCAACACCAGGATAAGGTTGGGTGTTGGCAATAGCCTGGGTGTTGCAGAGCAAGGAGAGGTAGAGCCATGGGGCAGAGCAGAACTCTGTAAAGATCCTGTGATATATGTGTTCTGCTAAGGAAAATTAAAATCCCAGAATTTATGAACATAAAGGTGGCTCAGAGTCAGCACTGATGACACATGAATGAGCAGAGGATGTTATCTAAGCTGATGCCTCTTAGTGTTGGTATCAGTAGCAATAACACTACATGCTCTAATATGTGTCAATTATAACAATCCACTTGCCTTCATTAACTTCATCATTTTCTCGGTCAACCTGAGCCTTCAGGACGTATCGCTTAATCAGACGCTTCATTATTTTCTGAGAAGAGAATAGAAACACTTATCTTCATGTGAGCTTAACCCTGCTGCCTTCATTCTAGACATTCTAAGGAATTCAAGCACCTCATTTCACTATGCATAAAACCTGTCTTCAGGGAGTGCAAAGAGAGTTTATTTATTGACTTCCCATTTATTTTATGCTTTCTCTTATGAACTCTGTACTACAACAGTTGATTAACAGCCACTCCATAATGAGCCCATGTACAAGGCACTTTCAGGTACTTCATGGAATGCATATGAATGTAGAGTATGTCCCACAGACAGAAAGAAAACACAGATGATCCAATAGCCAAGTTAAGAAATGGGATCCAGAGCCTTTCCTTAGCATGTTGCTGTTTAGTATAGCAATAAAAAGTACTTTACAGGAAGAAATAAGTGGTCAATTAATGATGTTAGCAAACTCTCATGATGAGGGACTAAATATCCGACCCAAAGTTAACAGAGGACTCTGTCTTGCAATTGGGGTTTTAAGAGAGAAAATAGATTTAGTGAAGAACAGAGAGAAAAGAGTTTGAACAGAAGTAGAGAATTTGGTTCAAGTGGGAAAAGTTTCTTAGGAAAATGGCAGATTTTAAGGGACATGCACAGGATAAAAAATGGAGCCATGCAGACTTATAAAATGGGGGATGATTGTTAATAAGCAACAGCATCTATGGAAATGGTAGAAGATGGCTATGGAAAGGAGCTTGCAATGCGATATTGTTCCAAAAATGCATGTTACATCTACCTAGAAGGGCAGTAACATTGGCAGTCTTGGGCTATGCACAGGGCTACAGCTTAAGGCTGCATGGTTGCTAGTTCTTCACTACAGAAAAGACACTCATCAAAGGAGAAAAGAAATCTCGGCTATAATAAACATAAAAAGGATTGCTCTATCAGAGACAGTGATTTGGGTAAACAGAGGAGCTCAGTGAACACCCAAGAACACATACACAGATGCATTTCATTGACCAGATGGTCACTGCTAGGGGAAAAGCCTTTCCCAGCATGTGCTCAGTTACTCAAAGAGCAATCACACGTCTCTGCTTTGAGCATCACTGAAAAACACTGCAAAGAGTGGGAAATACCAACTAAGAAATCAGAACACCTGCTCTTTTTTCTTAGTATCCAGGTATGGATTATAACAGTGCAAAAGGCATGTGAGCATCAGAGAAGGATCCAGTCATTTGTATATGTCATGCAGTCATGGAATATGGGATGTCTAAGACTGTCCTTGTATCAAGGAGGCATCTGGCTAATCAGGTGAATCATTAAGGCAACAGAGATGAGGCACAGCGCACGTACGGTGTGTTGAAGATGGCCAAGGTAGTAGAATCCAGAGGGAGGTAGGGTGGTCACCTGAGAAAACATAAATGAAGTAATGTTTGGGGAAAGTAGGGAAATCCTGGATCCAAAAGTAAATGATTTTCTTTTCAGAACAGACTACAGAGGAAACTTAGCCTAAAACAAGGAAGCAGCACACAGCGAATGCTCTTTTTACCTGGAAAAACAGGATAACATCACATCTATCTACTCCAGTTCCCATACTACTTCTATTTCTGATGGACGCTACTCAAATGCTATCCTGTATTAACCACTATGTGTGACAGAAGTCACAAGCTTAAGGCTGCTTAGTTTATCTAATATATGTTGTAGTCAGATTGGTCTACAGAAACTAAAAAGTGTGAGCACTTTGTACCAAGGATCTACTTAGTCATTGAGTAGTTATTTCTGCCAATATCTTTAGGAAAGTAATTCATTTTTGCCTTGATACTGACCTGGGGCTTTTATGCCTCGCTTCTCCCCAGTACTGCTTCTTTCAGTTGGAATATGTGAAATAGCCTCCAGGAAAAATAACCCTGGTTATTTAGGGCAACGCTGAACCAAACTTACAGACAAGCTCTTGGGAATGAGTGCTGCACTGGAAACAATTAAAATATGTCTGATTTCTATAAGGTTCCCCATTCTTCAAAAGTTAATGGAAATTCTTCAGGTCTCAGAGAGCTTTTATACTATGCAACATTCAACTACCCACTGTTCGGCTTAAAATAGTCTTCATAGGCTCTAGGAACAGGTCAGGCATTTTCAAATTATAACTGCATCGAATTCAATGTTTTTTATGTATTTATTGGCACAGCCTTCACTTTCAAGCTCTGCATTTGCCATCAGGTATCTGAATATGTTCTAGCACAGAGGGAAATGAGACGAATAGGACAGAGGCACTGAAATTGGACTTGTGAGGTTTGAGGATCAGCTTCTGGTTCAACCATAGTTTTTTTGGGTCTGGTAAGTCCTGCTGGACCTCATTTCTTTGTCTTTAGTGTGGAGGCCATGATATCTTCCCACTTCATGTCCCTGGTCAAAATCAGGTGCAAGGTAGCAGTGATCAGAGGGGACAACTACTCACTGGGGCATGAGATCTCAAACCTGGCAATCTATTTTGTCTCTCAGAACAGCAAAGAAATCTACTTCTGACCCTTTTAAAGTGTAAACTATTCCTTCTATTTTGTTTTCCAGGCAAATCCTTTCCTTAGTTTCATAGGTGAAGATGTTGACAATTTGGCAGACTGCAGTGCTGCAAATGGGAAAACCTCATTAATTTAGCAGAGCATTTTAGCACTGCTTCATCTTAAAAGCTCGGGTCAACAGGGTTTGATAAAGATATCATTTTGCCTGGACTAGTTCATTCCCAGACCATGGCTGCAGTGTGTTGACTTGTTCTTCCTACTTTTCAAATCACTGCATGTTCAGATGCTGTGTATTTTTGTTCTTCCTCAGGAGCACTGTCTCTATGTAGTAAAGGTACACAGACTGCAGATACATCACTTGATAAATTCCACCAAAGAAAACAGCTCAGCAAGAAGGCACTGCTTCAAAGGTTTTCCCAGTTGTAGAAGAAAGTTTGCTGGCCAGATTACCAAACTGTTTGTTCTTCTTTATATTTAACTAATTAAGAGTATTACACTCTCCTTATATTATTTGGGCAATTTTTTCCTGCAGCAACTGAAACTTTCTAAGGTCATTTGAAGACAAACCTAGTAGGAGCATTTTTAAAGCAAAATAACAGGTAGCTAATCCTTTTCTATCTGATTTTCACAGCTGCTTCTGGCTTTTTCAACCTTGGAAATAAGGGTCTAATTTACCACAAACATTAGGTGGTCTCATTTAGAAATAATAGCTACAGGAAGAGAATGAGCCCAGCAGAAGCTGACACATCTTCCCCTTACCTGTGGGTTTGAATGGATGGGAAAACATCA